CCAGTCTGTGATTCTATGAAAAACCCACTCAGGTCAACCCAGAACAAGCCAGAAGAGCAGGCAAGAGCATCCGATAAACATACATCTTTATCCAGGGTTCGAAACATCTGGCTGATGACGCTCTCCGAGAAGAATGTCATGGCATCCCACTGCACAAAGGATGGAGAGAAGATGGAGCAGAGACCTTCGCCTGTCTTGGCTGAAAGGAAGAGAACACGGGAACTCTCACCACGCTCCTCCCCGCATGCACAACACCAGGCTGAAACATCTCAGTGCTCAGGGATATTCTGGTCACACAGCTCTCCCTGCAGATGCCCGGCAGGGATGCCCTGGGAAGAATTAAGGCACTCCCACAGGATTTGCCTCATTCAAGTGAGGGCTTCTCAGACTTCAGTCTGACCTTTGGAGACACCACAGGGAGCAACACCAACAAGTCACAGCAGGGAAAAGAAATGGAGGGAGACCATGTGCCCAGACTCAGCGCTGCTGGCGACTTTGCAGAGCACCAAGTGGCCTTCCTGCACAGGAGGAAAGCAAGGGGACTGACAGAGGGTTGTGCTGCACAGGCAAAACTTCCCCGGACAGAAGTAATCAGTATATTAGGGAGAAAACAAGGCCCAAGTAACTGTAATATTGTATCAGAGGGGACAGCTGCATCTGAATTGGGGGAGAGAAAGGAGCCAGAGGTTTTACATTACCTGTTCCATAGGTAGAGTGCAAAGGGTAAATTTGGGGTGGGTTTAATTTGATTTTGCCTTTAATTTGCAAAGATATTACAAGCCTGAAAACCTAGTGTTGAAACTTGGCTCCCCTTAAAAAAGAAAAAAAAAAAAAAGGCCAAAAAATTTCTCCTGGGCTTAAATTACAAACCAAATCCCATATCCCTGTTTTCTATTTTTGCAGGTAACTTACAGTTCATGGGTCCGGTATCAACAGGAGCCGTGAGTTGGTACTTGAGCCATTCGCCAGCCATCTGGAAGCCAGTTCGAGGGTCCAGACGACAAGCCATCCTCATCACCTCTCCTTGCTGGGCTCGGAAAGCTGCCAGTGAGAAAAGATCAGGCACCAGGCAAGAAGCTGACGCAACAAATGCTCCCTTCCCCCAAGCTCACCTGCACCTCTGCACACCCGGGAACATTACGGGCTGTTGCTCTGGCAATAGCTGCGTAGTAAGCTCAGACACGCAGCCAGTAAACTGCGTGCAACAGGATGGGCAATTTTTGAAGCAATTTAACTGGACTAAAAGTGATGGATTAACATAAAAAGAAGAGCAATTAAAACGCAGTATCAATTCAGAAAATCTATGCTAAAACCAGATTTACTGCAATTAAGCCTCTATTTTTCATTAAAAAAAAAAAAATTCTCCAAAACCACACGTTTGCAGCTTCCAAAGCACCTTGAGATACTGAGACAGTTACCTAATGCTGGTTTTCTACCTCTTCCTTCACCTAAGCACACTTTCTCTAGATTAGTCAACTTAACCCAGTTTGGATTCTAGGCTAACAAGCTAACATGACCTCAAAAAACCCCAAATATGTCTGGTTTTCAGTTTCAAAGATATGAAAAGTGAAGTACAGAACAGGAATTCCCCGTATTCCAAAATATTCCAGTGCATGACCACACCAAAGAATCAGCTCTGCTGACTACAGATGTGACTTGCAGTGATTAAAAAAGCTGTTGTATCAAGTAATTTTATTTTGTGTTTCAAAGTAGTTTTATTTTCTGATATGTGCAACACCTTCAATATAATTTAATTCCTTAAAACTACTTCAAATCCTGGCTTTGTGCATTTAGCTACTTTGATTTCCACCCCAGTAGATTTATTACAGTAAGTGAAAAATAAACTGTCTAATAAGCAATAAAAAAATGGAACACTTAATTACGTGAATTCTTACTTCTTAGATCTACGTCTGAAGATTTTTACTACGTATATCCACCCAGTAACCAAATTAAGTACCAAACTCCACCAGTCAGTGAGAACCAACATGGGTTTTGGGAAGTAAAATAGAAAAAAAGAAAGAAAATAATTAAATACCCAGGGTTCCTCATCTGCTTGTTTAAGGTTACAATTAAATCTGGCTACTTGAATTGCTCCACTCTAGCTACTGGTACTGAACCAGAAGCTTCTTAGCAGAGCCAGGACAGATTTGCTTTCTGGAAGGACATTTCAAGTCCTCTGTGAGCTGCCCTCCTCTCTCCAAATGTGAGCAGGACTCCAGGCTGTTTCATTTCCTCCCCCAGTTGACCAAGAGGCACATTTTCTTTGACATGAGGTAGCAAATGCTACTAGGCCACCTACCTCTAGCAAAATCACATCAAAAAGTAACGAAAAACGCCTGAGCTGCCACAGGAAAATCCTAAAGTAATTTACTCCAAGATCCAGGCTGAAAGAGTGAAGACACAAATGGAAGCTGCCCAGCCAACACGGCAGGCTCCAAGCCTAGCCAGCCACTGAAGGTAAAAGGAGAGGCACGACAACAGCTTCCACACAGGGCGATGGCAACTTACAGTTGAAGAAGGCATTGAAGTCCTCATCGCTGTCAAAATCGAAGCGGGAGTATTCACAGCTGGGGCTGTCTGTTTTGGAGGGAAAGCCCACCTGGAGACAGAGCAGACACGGTCAGGAAGAGAAGTCATTCATCGCAGCTAACACCAGCTTCGAGGAGAGGAAGCCCGACGGCAAGGAGCAGCAGGAAAACGATGCGATAGAGCCGTTTGCTCAGCGGCCTGCAGAGCACGTCTGCAGGAGAATGGAGTTTCTCTCCCATGATCCACAGGCTGTGTTCACCCGGGCACCTTCTCCCACCTGCCTGGCTGCAGTTCCCACGCACCTTCACGAGGTTGGTCATGGATGCACGAAGATACTTGGGAATCATGGCCAGCAACAAGGGGTCGTGAGACAGAACTTCATGTCGAAAAAGGGCTCCCCACGTGATCTGGGTGGAAGAGCGCAGAAACTGGGGGGAGAAGAGGGGAACAGAGAAGGATTTCAGTGCTGGAATCTCCCCTGCTAACATGAAGTGTGGCTATCAGATGGCAATAGCAAATTACACTCGCTATTCGACTGAGGCCAAGGCACCTTGCAGGCACACCCCAAACTTCCAGAGTGCCAAAAAATCTCTAAGTAAATACTAGAGCTGGTTGCAAATTCTGCGCCTTCTACTCAGCACCTCCGTGTCAGGCACTGTTCCTTATGGAGCAGGACTGAAGGCGAAACAACCCTGCCTCCCAGGTCTTCAGCTGAAACGGAGAGCCTGGAGAGCAGGATTTGGCAGCTGAAGTTCTGCAGTCTCCCACAGGTTAGTTCAATTACACGTTCACACGTCCGACAGACACACACGAGACTTTCAGCCCTTTACGTACCTGGCTGGGATGGGTTGTGAAGGCTAAAAACGAGTCAAGGTATTTTCCAAAGTTGGTTGGCGTCTCCACATCAGCATCTGAGCCCTGTTAGGGAGACAGTCCGTTTCAGACACCATACTAGCTGTACGTCACGCGGGGCTCACAAGCGGTACGTCTCTGGGCAAAGCAAGAGCTCTGCACCCGAGGCCCCAGACTGTGAAGGAGGAGAGACAAAACCACTGAACAACTGTGATGTTTTCTGAACCAGTACAGCCCGAGGAGTAGCCAGTTCTGCTGACCCGCCGGGGGGTGCCGGAAACGGCACCACCCTTGTTCAAGAGAAAAGTGTGACTATTTAGACACTGGAGTTCCAGTACAACCAGATTTGTAACAGATGCTGCCCTCAGTCATAGTCCACCTACTGGATCAAGCCCACTCCAGCAACACTGAAGTGGAGCAATTCTCAACTGCAGAATTTCACAAGCAAATATACCCAGGTGATTTCACTCCCCTTCCTCCAAATGCTTCCTGCTTTTAACATGTGGACATTCCTTACCAATAACTTTCTGGGAGGTTTATCAGGAAAGTAGGTTTTACCCAGAGCCATAAACTCCAGGTTCTGCTGTTCCTCACTAACCATATTATGAGCTGGTGCTCTCAAGATCCCTGTTCTGGAGCTGTATGGCTCGGTGCTGCCTCTCCCGAGTAAATGTGGATGAGAGGACACAACCTCCCCCCCATCAGGGACTAACAGCTCCCGCTGCCTAACACCGAGTGAAGTTGCTGAAAGCAAGAACACACCCTTTGGCTGCTGACCATTCGTTTCAGGGATGGATTCTCAAAGGGGTTTCTTTTCCTCTCCCTCTCTGTGAGAATTGAGCCTGCTCTATCCCTTGCAGGGGTTGGCTGCCCCCCGTCTCCCCATGAACAGCACCTCTCAGCGAGCCTGCCATCCGTACTGTAGAGGCGCTGAGCTGAGCGGAGGGAGCAGGAAATCAGCAGAGAACCCTGTGGCTAGAATCCTGGTCCTGCCTTAGATCAGGGACTCCTCACCCCCAGCCCTAAGAACTTGCCTCACCAGGGCTACTGCTGGTATAAGCAGAGACTTACTAGCAACGCACATAGCTGGCTGCCCAACGCGCACAGAACTTGGCAAAGTCTCTTCAAGAACACATAGTGCTTCTCCACCAGGCCTTCTCCATCTGCTGTCCTGGGAATGAGGGGAGGGGGAAGAACGGACCACAGTTACTCAAGCTGTGCGTAACAGGCACGCTGCTATCCATCTTGTAGATTAAAAAAAAAAAGAGGACTAGAGCAGTTTGATTTTATTGAAATGGGATTTTCTTTGCCATTATCAAGAAGTACTGCTTTACTGGCATCTCAAACCTCTGAAATTGCCCCTGAAAAGAGCCCCCCACCGATCAGTTTCAGGCTAAAAGAGAAAGCTGGGGAAGCTGTCCTGTTTACACCACTCTGTCCTTCAATTACGGGATTTGAAAAACACGTGCAGTTTTTTAAGGTTTTGCAGAAGAACTCGTAGTTCTGTTCTCTCCTACCCCAGTCCCAGCTTCCTGCAGTTAATCAGCAGTATCTTTGGCAAGTCCCATCCACAAAGCCACTTTGCGTGAAATGTCACCAGGGGGATGGTACTCACTGGGCAGCAGAGAGAATGTAGTGCATGGCAACGTCTCCAAACAAGACCATCAGAGGCTTCCGATCCTCCAGCTTACCCTACGTGCAAAACACACCAAGTGCCTCAGTTAGAACATGACTGTTTATTCCCATCTGCAAGTGAAATCAGCAGATGCCCAGCTGCCCTTCCACCTGGGAAGGGGCTTACGTTCCACACATTATTTCAGTCAAAGCTTGCCAAAAAAAAAAATCTAAGGAATCCCTGATCTCAAGAAATTTCCCCACAGGAACTTTCAACTGAAAAACCGATCCCGAGACGTTCACTCTTCTTCACTGTGGACTGGCTGGTGATGTAAAGGCAGCTGATAAATGCTCAGCCTCAGTACTGAGCTGCTTGTGAATTTATGGGTTAAATCACTTGCTTAGGTCCTGCTGTCACTGCTCCGAGCTGCCAGATGACACAGCTGGTGACAGTATTTCCCACCTCACAGTTGTGGAAAGGGGGAAAATAAAAGTCAGTGGGGATCTCCAGCTTGAAAACTGGGGGGAGAGACCAGCACAGAAGCTACAGAGGGTTCCAACAGTTGCTGTATGCACTTTGCTGGCATGACATTCACGCTAAATATCGTACCCCGCCAGATATGAGCATTGTTTCTTAAATAAAAGGGCAAACACATCATTGTTCAACCTGAAGAATTATATGGGAGAATAGGAGGAAAACAAAGGGGAGGCAGGGGAGCTGAGGGGGAAGAACTCACTTTAGCAATCAGGAGACACTCTGCTGCTCCTATCTGGAGCTCAGGTTCATTCAGGAGCAGACATAACATCTCCAAGAGCTTGCAGTTGTCTGCTGTGATGTGGCTCAGGGCCACCCAGTCAATGTAGCCAGCCAAGGTGTTGAGTGCTGCTATCCCCACGCGGCAGTTTGCCTGGGCCTGCGAACAGTGAGGAGGAGAGAGGTCAGAGAGAAACACCAACTCCCACCTAAAGCCGCCCACCCCTGGGAGAACAGTATTGGGAACCGCCCTGAGAGTGAGCCAGCAGCAGAAGGGTCCAAGTCCCCACACCAGATGTCAGTTAAGGCCTGGGCATTTCTCCACTTGTGCCTCACTTCTCTCTTCTGCAGGAATTTGTATCATGGGTGAACAAACCCATCTGTGAGTGAGAATTGCAGGTAACAGACTCCAAAACCTGGGAGGACCCTGGTTCTAAGTGATTGTGGTCTTAAGAACGCCTAATGCGCTAACTCCCGCACAGCTCCGCTCACCTTTGGCTCCTGAGCCAGATCAGCCTTCTGAAAAAGAAAAGAGGGGAGGGTAAGTGAGCAGCTGCAGCACACGCTTCCACCCACCAGCTGCTGGACAAGCTGATTCTTGAGAACGCAGCCAGAAGCAGCTTCGCAGAACAGCTGCCCCGTGACAGAGGCTGCACCACCGGCTCCCGCTCAGGACACGGGTGTAGCCATCACAACCACCTCCACAGCCCCCCGGCAGGTAAGACAACAGGACTTTCAACTGCAAGTTAAGCCACGATTTCTTTCTCATCCAAAAGATGACACTCCAGTCAGCACGCATCAGGGAGACACAGGGGACAGGAAGGAAAGGCGTTTCAGCGCTTCCTGTAAGCTTCCAGGGGAGAAACCTTTGACCTTTTAGAGCACCTTACATCTAAAAGCCAGGCTCTGGAAGATGCTGGTGGCTTTTATCTTGCTGTGTGAAAAGGGCGATTTGTTTGTGGTCAGAAAGGCAGCTGGAGCGAGAGCCGGAGCGAGAGCTTACAGCCTGACCCCCAGTTCTGCACACAGGCCAGCAGCGAGGCGCTGCTTGCGCCACCTTTTTGACTACTGCAAACTGGTCCCTCACCCACTCAGGTTGTTTCTCAGATGCAAAGACACCACCAGTGTTTCTTTCTGCTGCAAGGCTTTGGTTTGGAAACTCTGCCCACCGGCGTATCTGGTGCGGCAATTTTAAGTTCATCTGGTTGTCCCCCAAGCGTTTTAACAACTGAGCCACCGTACAGCACTGCACACTTAGAATCATTACAGCATCGGGGAACGGTCCCTCATCTCCCCCAGCCTCAGTGCGCAGAAGGTAACTGAACACCCAACCCTCGGAATTTACCCTGTGCACAAACATCCCAAAGAGCTGCTAACCTGTGGAGTGGTGAGGGCTTCTTGTTCCTGGGGTGCTTCAACCTTGCCAATCAGAAAGATTCCACCATTAGCAGAAGCAGCCACACTTCAGAGCCTCAAGCACTGCAATTCAAACCTTACCTGGAAATGCATTTCAACCAGACTACAAAATGCACCAGGGTCTCCCACCCACCACCACGACCTGCACAGAGAACTGGCTGCTCTGCAGCGGGCTTGTTCAGCCTGTCTGTGCACCAGGACAGCGAACAGAAGTCAGGCAGGGGAGGGTTTTTCGTCGCCTCCCCAGTTTCACATTTAGTGTAACTCTAGATTTTAATTCACAGATGAAAAAGAACGAGCGACAGACCTAAGCAACTTATTTCTAGATTGGTTTCTCAGCTGTGCTCTGCTCTCAAATCCATTTCCTTTTCACAGGGAAAGAAGAGACTTGCCTTCGCCATCCGTCTCTTGACCAACCTGCACATCTCTGACTCTAGGTAAGAGTTCAGGGAAGAAGTCTCTCTGCACAAAAAGGAAGAGCATTCCTCACCACAACTTGACAAAAAAGGACTTTCTGACCTGAGCTCTGGGAGAAAAGGACCAGAGAGGCCCAGGTGCAACGCCGAGACATCAAAAACTCACGCGTTTTGGTGCGCCACCACAAAGACACCACTGCAGCTGAGAGAGCAGACGCCAGCCAAGGAGGGCACCTCTCTACCACTGTGTGTTACACGAACTACCCCAAATCTACCTCTTTCTGCCACAACCACATCTTCATTTTGCCAAGCCGTACACTCCTAGCATCGGTGGATCATTCCAACGGTACGGAGGAGGCACGCATCCGTTTACAATAGCAAATCAGAACTATCGACACTAAACCCTGTCAACCTTGTGCGTCCAGTCCCTCTGACCAGCACTGGCTTCCCAGGCCGCAGCAGATCCCTACCTCACAGCAACAGATCTCAGACAGTTTCTGCACTTGCTTCCCCAACAACTTGCGAGCTGTATCCCAATTCCTAAACGCCTCCAGCACCGACTGAACCCAAGGGAAGGAGACTCTTACCATGCGCCTGTACTTGTTGACATTCTGCTGCAGAGTACTTAGTAGGAAGCTGAAGATCTTCTCCATGTTCTGGGTGAGGGTTTGCTGGATATCTCGTCGCCGCTGGGTGGGCAGGGTTTGAAAAGTCACCACATCCTCTGCCAAACGTAGGAGGATGAACATCACCAGTTCTGTCTGAGTTTCCTGATGTCCCAAAGTGAAATACACTGCGTCAGCACGGTTCAAACGTTAAAAACCCTAGAATGCAGCTCAGAGATGTAGAAAGTGAGAGTGCATAAAGATACGAGTCCCACCCTGGGGAAACAAGGCAGCAAGATGGCCCCTCTGTGCTGGTTTTAGTCAGGAAAGAGTTAACATTCTTCACAGTGGCTGGTATGAGGCTGTGTTTTTGGATGTGCCCTGAGAATAGTACTGATAACGTGTCTTTTTAGCTGGTGCCAGGAAGTGCTTGCACCAAATTCAAGGTCTTTCTCAGCTTCTGATACTGCAGCTGCATTCCCAACCTTCTCCCTACAGGCAGTGTGGGGGACACACACTGGTCAGACAGCTGACCCCAACTCAAACTGACTGAAGGAGTACTGCGTTCCATTGCACGGCATACTCGGTATGTCGCTCTCAGGCTCTGGCTCTTGCTACCTGGGACCTGGCTGGTGGTGATCAATTGCATAATTTGCTTTATATTCCATTATTTTACTTACTTAGTAGTAGTACTATTGATAATATTATTAGTATCACTATAATATTAATTTATATTCAATTATTAATTAGTTCTTATCTCAATTCATGAGCTTCCTTGTCTTTTCCTCTGATTCTCCTCCTCCTCCTTCACTGGGAAGGGGGGAGGGGAAAGGTGAGCCGGTGGCTGCGTGGTACTTTGTTGCTAGCTGAGGTTAAACCACAACAGCCTCTCTGCTAAAACCTCCTAGAATAACTTCAACTAGCAGGGATTTTTAAGTCCACCCTCAGCCTGTCTCACTTGACCACCCGAGGGTTTTCTTTCCCACAGGCGATGGAAGGCTGAGACCCATACTATGAGCAAACAGAAGAGAACAGACAGGTGTGTTTCATACCCCTTGCTTGGAGAGGGTATCCAGCTCCTTCAGCATGTCAGGCCAGTGCTGAGGCCACTCGCGCTTGATCATCTCCACCACAATGCGAGACAGAACATCCTTAATGTGACTCTCCTCCTCTAGAATACTTTGAGTTCCCTGTGATAGAAGAGGGGCAGTTATACAAAACAGCAAACATGAGACATTCATAATCCTTGGAAGCACTGTGACTGCAAATATTCTAAACCACCCAGAACAACAACAACAAAACAAAACAGTATCGGGATGGCTCTTCACCCAGCTACCTTGGACGACATTCCTACCCTCCCACGCACCCACAGCTAGTGAACTCTGGGAACGAAAACACTTCCCTCAAAAGACAGTCACTTGGTCACGAGAGCAATCACAACAATAGAGAAAACACGACTAAGATAACTACATCCATAGTTACTGAATTTCCCCCTACGAAAAAATGAGGTACCTTATACATCTCATACCAGCCTCACAACTTCCTGAGGTGATATGGTTAGTGACCTAACTACAAGACAGAGAAAAGCACTGCAACAACCAGGGATGCACAGCAAGAAAGTAACGAAGTGCATAATTGAATTCAGGTCCCCTGTGCTAATTAACTGGAGTCTTTTTCCCTTTCGCTCCCACTTTCTATCTCTAAGTGAGTGAATCGTGTTTCAGAGAACAGTCTGGGGTAGAAGGTACTTACACTGGATATGAGGCCCATGACATTGTTCTTTAGATAAACTTTTTCTAGGCGAGGCATGTTGTTCCAGCGGAACCTGCTCAGAACAGTTTAAAAAAAAAAAAAAGAGAGAGTGAGAATAAGGACACCAACTCGTAACATTTATAAACATCTCTGACCTGATTCTCACCCAACCATCGCTTCTTTACCTAGAGAGTGACGCTACAGCTCACTGACCCTGCCAGTCCCCTCATGAAAAGGCTGAGTGCAAGCTGCTGCTGCTGGCAGACGGGCACGCACCACTGGGGTCAACAGGCATGAGAAGCAGCAGCAGCAGCACAAAGCGTCAGGTCTGTAGAGGCAGTAGAGAGGAATCTCAGGACTGAACTAATACAAAGCCTCTTTGTTAGCGTGAGGCTAATGACAGAGAAGACTGCAAAGGCCTACTGATAACCCTGCGTGCATATTTACATCCTGCAATGCCAACGTGTCTCAAAGCCCAGTGAATTAACCTCCCCAACCTGCCTGAAAGCCGCTCTCTCCTCTCTGTTACAGAGGAGGAAAGAGGCAGAACAGGACAGCAGCTCTTCTCTGCTGCAGGGCAGACTCCCCGCATCCCCCCAAGTGCTTCCCTGAAGCGGGAGGCGCGGGAACGGGAGCAGAGCCCACGGCAGGGGCTGCGTGGCAGCGGGCCGGCATCCCTCCCCGGCGCAGGGCACGTACTTGACCACATGCTCCAGGATCTGCAGGCCGAAGTGCCGGACGATGGCCGTCTGCGTCTTCTCTGCCAGCTTCAGCCCGCAGGGCACGCAGATGGGACACTTCTCCTTGAACTCCTCGCAGAACTGGGAGGGGAAACACGCACACGCAATTAAAACAC